TACAGATTTCCGCCTCGAAAGGTGGGTCTGTTGAAACAGACCATGGAACGTGTGCCGGAATAGCTGTAAGAAGCTGGCGCGGGTGGCCAGCTAAATTGTGCTTTGAAGTGCTCCGCCCAACGTTCAAGGCGTCGCTGTGGATTATGAATGGACAAACCGTCAGCTTCGCAGATCGTTTTGCTCACACCTAAGGCTTTCCTATCGGTGACCCGGATGAGATGGAACAGCTTACGGGGATTACCCACGGCGGCANGGCGGCAGCACGTTCCATCTCTGATGCGCGCTGAGACCACCAGATCTCGGGGTCTCTGCGTAGGCTTGCAATAAGTTCACGTCTCGTTATGAGTCGCGTTCCATTATGCTCGCTGCCGGTCGGCATTGACCGACGTGCGTCAAGAAAACGTAGAGACTCTGCAGAGATTCAGGGTGTCACGGCGCGACGTGTTAGACCACAACTAACTAAGCCAGCAGAATGATAAGCGACCAGTGCTGGTTGACATTGTCGGGTGGGGTTGGTTCTAGCTTCTTAGCTAGCGCGTTTTGGAAGACAGTTAGACAAGCTCGTTTGGATAGCTTGTTATAATTTAACCGTCGTTGTGTCGGTAGGCCGAAACCCACCTTATTCACGGTTAGCCGCGAGATGGCGGCCGTTCCCCTATCCGCGACCTGGGGACGCGCTCGGCAGCATACAGCTCTGCTCTTCCCAGCTACTACTACGATAAGAATAACCTCTCGGAAACCAATTCTACTCAAGAACACCACTTATGCAACCCAAAAGTGGCACAACAGTGGGGAAAATTTTATCGCACACCATAGTATGTTGAACGACAGAAGCTGTGGACCATGCAGGTAAGACTTTTCCTTTATGGACACCGGTAACCTAACCCTCGGAATACGACTACCGAATAGCCCGAGACCCCAGTAAATTGGGTGCACCATAGGAAAAGTCACCACGATCGGATCGTGAAGACAAAGTAAAAAAGCCAGACTCAAAAAGTTAAGGCATAAGGTTGATAACATTCCAGAAGACAACGGATGCTTTATTAGAGTAATTTTAATGCCAAACCCAGGGCGACTCTTACCCCGTGCAGACAGTTGGTCCACTGAGACACAGACCGTAGGTGGCGTCCTTATTTGATNCCTTGTACTTGTGCAGTAAACGCATTGTGTGCCGGCTTCTTATGTCTAGCAAGGTTCTAACACTCCGGCAGCCTACGAGGATACTGGACCGGGTGTACATATGGTTTGGTTTCTCAGTTTGCTCATTTATCAACCCAGCCGCTGGGTTTCGCCTTGTACAACCAAGTGCGACCTGCGGAGTAACAGGAGGGAAGAGCTGGTAACCAATGACCGTCAGAATAGTTCACACCATTTGAATGACTCAGTACCGGCCCAGGATCCCGACGCGCATGTGAGGTTTCAGAGTTGGTGACTAATGGCCACCTTTTACACACCTCATATCATGTTCTACTGGGGTTAATAAGCAAGTGGCGGGCCTCATTCGCACGTATCACGATGCATTCAGCAGTCACTCGAAGACTTTAGATCGGGCATCAGTTACCAACTGGAAGCAATACCAACTTCCCTAGTATCACTGCTGTCAGTCCGCGATGGATTTCACATTAAAGTGGCCCCTAATTATTCGAGGTCACTTACCAAAGATGCAGCTCTCCTATCCGCGACCTGGAGACGTGCTCGTTAGCAATCAGCTGCTATATCCGTAGACGAACCGTTGGTTACGGACCGAGAATCCACCTNAATCCACCTAGACCTCGAAAGCAATTGTAAACCCCTTAAACATAGTCAGAGATCTATACAGTTGCGGGTGAGCGACGCAGCGTTTCGGCAAAATCAGTGCACCCAGCAGGCGCCTGATAAACTCCAGGAATCACGAATGTCACACCATGAACCCCAGGCGAACGCATTAAGTCACCTGTTATGCAACACTCAAATACTAACAAACTCGCAGCACAATCCCTCACAGATTCACATTGACATAAGAGCACACAATTTCGGTCGCCAACAGTTTCAGAATTGCCACGATAACTCGTGTGAATTTTCGAAAACTTGGCAATCAAAATGTGATAGAGCACAGCAGTAATCAAGCGTGAAGCTTCTACAACCCAACAAATTACGTCTACATACACGATAGAATTCCCAAGCATGTGATAAGAACAATCGCGACCCCAACGAACTGAATCTGAATACGCTTCGCTGACGCGACGAAAATTTTGCTTTCCATCGATACACTGGCACCTAATACACATACACCAGTAGAAATTGAAACCCGGATAATGACTAAGCAAGACTGCACTG